AAAATAAAAACTTTTGATAAATAATAGGTGATATTTAAACTTTAATTAATTTTATAAAACAAATAACTATATATTCAAAGTGGTTTGAATATATACTTGAGAAATAACTTTTTCATGATTCAAATGTATTTTATATCTTTAAATATTTTTATTATTCATAATAATAATTATTTTTAATAAAATGTATTTATGATTTACATATATATATATATATATATATAATACATATATGTGACAATATTAATAAATTTATAATATTTGACAGAGATGTTATTTTCTATTATAAAAAACACAAATAAAAAGTTAAATGATAATAAAACTAAATTTCAATATATTTATAAAAATAATGATGTATTGTGGCTAAAATTTCCAACAAGATTTTTTTAAGGTGGGAGTTATTCAAATAGAGTACTGTACGGTTATACAAGTATAAAACTACACCATGAGGACATTGCCGAAAGGTGGAAGCTAAAAAAAAATGAAAACTCAGGGCACAGAAACTTAAAAAATGAGATGGATTAGATAAATTTAATTGGATGATTAAAAAATTATTACACAGGTGATTATTTTTTAATGCTCAATGGAGTCTTAATCAGGGATACTTTGGCTATGGTTTGTGTCTCTGTAGGTGGTTTGGTAGGACAGAGACGTATTGGCACCATGAGGTGTCACGTGGTGTCACACAACCATGTTGGGGACCTCAACCTTCTCCTCTACCCATAGTCATTTCAGCTTTTAATAATTAACAATGGGGTGTTTTAAAATAAAATAATAAAACCAAACAGAACTTTTGCTTAATAAAAATAAAAAATCAAAAGAAAAAAGATAAGAGTTTTGTTTTTGAGGGCATGTGGTCTGAAAAGAGCTGATCAAACTCCCACTAGTTTACAGAACAACAAGGCGTAATTCTTGGAATAGAGTTTTATAGAAAGAAGTGACACGTGCCATGTTTTAGATATATTTAGTAAAAACAAAAAAACAAAAACACCATACGGAAAACAAGGTGGTTTTCAATTTTCATTGTACGAAAGTTCTGCACGTGGTTAATTAATAACATGTATATAATTAGTTCACATATATAGTGTTAGTATATGTGGTTGATTTTGTTTAATTTGTTAACCTTAACATTCCCAAAAAAAATTTCTTTACTAGAAAAAAGTTAATGTAGTTTCTAAGTCGATGTCTAATTTAAAGATTTCTTTCTTTCTTCACTGGTATGTAAGTCTAACCCTAGTCCATATGAATGAAAAGGCTGGTCAGATAGTGTTGGAAAAAAGCAAAACTTGTAAATCCACAACAAAGATGGTTGTGCTGCTTAAAATAGAAGCACCATTATTGATGTCTCTATGTATAGTGTATAGGGATATTGAATGATGAGCATAATATAAATTTGCTCCTTTTTTTTTCCCTTAAAAAGAAGGTTATGGATATTTTATTTTGTATCAAGTGTCCTTTGGAATTATTTATATAGCATGACTTTTGACCAAATGATGAGCCAGCAATATATGTAATTTGTAGATAAATACGAAAGGACCCTTCTATTAATAATTCTTATATATATATAATATTCATCCTCTTAATCAATAGCATAACATTTTGTTGTTTAAATAATAGAAATTAAGCCATGAAATAAAAGAAGAGACGAAAGAGAAAGATTACTCTCCGAAGGATTTGAGGAGGGTATACATGGATATATTTATACAAATTGAATTTTTTGTGTCTCAATTATGGGTTTGAGAATGTAGTACAATTGACCTTGTTGTCTGGTCAAAGAGACATAGAGAATGCACAAAAGGGGAAATGTCCACAGAGTGCCAAAATTGGATTTTCTGTTCTGGATGAGACAGAGGTGAAAAATGTTGGTCTAGGGTAATTTTTAGAAGTCAACTATTTGATTTGGATGTATGCCATAAAACCAAGTACCATAAATTAATATGAAATCCTTTGAAGAATATTCCCTAATCAAGTGTGATCAGCATTTAATAAGTCAATTATTGGCAAAGTCCCCAGCATGTGCAATATAATTCTAGAGGTGATGACTTGTTCAAAAAAACTTGTCAGCTCCCAAGATTCGCAGTAAAAATTCAATTGAGTATTACTCAAAATAAAAACGGAATATTAAATATTATCCTTTTATGAACTAATTATTAAAAGTCAAAACTAGTTTCCTGAAATCCCAGAAAAAGAAAATAGCGGGGCAATGAAAAGGAAAAAAAAAAAAAAGTAGGGATCATTTTCAATGTGAGAACTGGACAAACTTCGTTTTCAATAAAGACCACATTTCCTATCTTAATATATACTAGCATATATAACTCAAATAATTAATTATATTTTTAAATAAAATTAAAGTTGATCTCAATTTTCAAACTTATCATTTAGACATACTAATGTTGAGATTATTTTGAAACAATATATGAAATTATGTATCTAAATGTATAAACATGATATGTATACTTGATAAATAACTGTGTCTTTTAACTATTTGATCAAATGTTCAAAATATATATATATATACGGAAAAAATTTTGTTAAAAAATAGTCCCTGAAATAAATTTTATTTTTATTAAGTGTCTGTGCATGATTTATTATTTACATGTATTTTAAATTCGTTGTATAATTATTTCATCAAACATTTAAACATAGTTTTTATTTAGCTTTCGGTGAGAATTACATTAACTAAAAAAAATGTTTAAATGTGTTACCCTATTGATATATAACAACAAATTATTTTTTTTTAAGAATTTTGAATTTACAAGAATTAAAATCTATTTTTTTATATAAAAAAGTGGCACTAAATTTAATAAAATCTATAAGCACCGATAACATGTGCCTCATATGTAAGTACAAGATTTTGAAACTGACTGAAAGAGAAGAATTTGACTACGTGCATTGGGTTCACAATTTGGAAAATGAGACTGAGACAAATTCCAAACCCAGCAGCAGACACGTAGAAAGCTAGCATACCCATTGCAGTCATCATCTCTGACTTGAAAGCACGACATTTACTCATTCCCACCTTGGATGGAAAATATGCCTTAAAAAAACCCTTTGTGAATTAATGTGGAAGACACTCATTGGACACAAAACAACACAACCTTTTCATCTATCTACCATTTTGAGCCCACACACCAAATCCAAATCTTTCAATTTTCACTTCATACCAACTTTTTTAGGCCCCTTCGTTCAATATTATCCACGTTTCTAAACCTTGCGTCTCTCACCCGTACTCATAAGTAGTATTATTATCTCTTACAAACTTTTTTTAAAATATATTAATCGATTAAATTAAATTAATCAACGTACCCCATACCATAGTGGGAAATAAAACACACAGAATATGTGCGAGAATAGAAATCGTTAGCCGAAGTTGGAACATTACATGGTCACACGTTTTGAAAGGGAGGGAATGTGTGTTTTTTATGGCTACGGTGGTATGATTTATTTTATGGCAAGAGAAGGTACCACGTATTTTTTTGGGTAGCTAAAAAGGGCAAAAAAAAAAAAAAAAAAAATTGAGGCCAACTTTAGAAGTTGAACATTTGTGAGTGCACAAGGTAACTAAGTTTTGTGTCCTCATTTGGTTGAGAGCCAATGTGTTTACACATTGAGAATAGCCAATGATTCAGAGCCACATATGCAAAAAAAGGAAAGAAAAGAAAAAGTAGTGTTCCTTTGTCTGCGAGGCCACTGCTCTCATAGCACTTTTACTTAACCCCACTTGTTTTATTTATTCCATGGAATCAATTATATGTGACAAGTTCCACTTCCAATCAATCTTATGGTTTTGGTTCTGTGCATTGCATGGCTTTTGCCACCAAATCTCATATGCATTTAAGCTTTGATTAATTAGTGTTCAATGTATAGAATAGAGACAAATCACATTAAGTTGATCTAACAGCTTCAGTTAGCTCTACCTAATTTTTTGCCTGGATTTGAGTTTCCTATTTCCTACCATGCAAGGGAAACTTTCCCTGTTTTTTGTTGGTTGGAGTTTTGGAATTTAGAATCCCCATGGGCTCTTGTTGTGGTTCACATTAATATTCTACTGGTGGTGATGGATTTGTTGGTGCGATGTTGGATCATTCCTCCTCTTTCACACTTGAGGCATTTTCTTGATTCCTTGACACATCAACGAACCTTGTTGATTTATAGTAAATGTATTCTTTTAATTTTGTAATCTTAAGAAAAAAAAAGTTTAATCACTATACTCAGTATAATCTTAAAAATCAGAAATTACTATTGATGAGTATTAAAATAATTATTGTAAAAATTAATAAACTTATTATATACAGTATTTTATGAATAGATGATAGATTAAAATTACTTATTGTCATTGCTATATATCCTTTTTTTTTTAAAAAAAATTGACATTTGAGTTTTAGATATTTAGCTTGTAGTACACATGTTAAATCCACCCACAAATATTAACAGTACTATTAAATAATTCCATTTTTTTTTGTAGGCAAGCTTGATATTGGACTTGGCCCAGCAGTATCGATTCAAGCTTATTGAGAATTTTGGTAAAAGTAGTAACTAACTTATACTCTTTCTTTGATGAAGACAAAAGTTAAACATATAGAAAAAAATGGTTATTAACCAAATGAATAAAACTTTATAGATATATGAAATTATTTTTGGATCTTCACGCGCGTAATAACTTGATTTTTAAAATAGTCTATCCTTGATAATTAGAATATTCGTTACCGACTCTTACGAGTTTAATTAAATTAATAAGCCACTTTCCAGCACAAAAGAAAATTCGTAGCCCTCTTTTACCTTTCAAAGGATATTTTTCTCATAAGAAAATCAAATTACTTTTACATTAGAGCACGTGCGTTGAACTTGAAGATGAATTCTAAAAATTCGATTTGTACAAGGGGAGGTGGTGGAATTGTGACCAAAGTCTGAATTAAATAGAGAATGTGAAATGAAACTTCCTCACCCCAAGTTAGCAAAGTTATTTAAAATTCCAATATGACCACGAGACACACATATATGTATAGTTTTGTATAGCCTCAATGATTGGCCACTTGTCCCTATAATATCTTCTTCATGTGTGAAACCAATAACTTTAATAAAGACGTTTAGAATGAATGTCTTGAGGTTCTTCAACATTGGCTGAAATGGCTAAAACGCTGACACTCTTCAAAGCTTGACCAAGTTTTGTTTTAAGACAGCGATGTTGTGTTTATGTTAGGCAAAGACCATGACTTGGACCTAGCTCATCTTTTTCGTTGAATCAGTCAAAATCCAAACGACAAGTACTCAAAATCTGCCCTTAATTATGAATCTGTCTTTGTTGGCCATTGCCTAAACGACATGTATCATTCCCATTTAAGGAATCTTATGCTTTCGATGTCATCGTAGGAGGTTCACTAAAAATTATCTCATCAATCTTTCTTCTTAAATTGCTTTAACAAGTCTTGTTGCATGGCATGCATGGAATCTTGGTCAAAATTCAAGTTATGTGCCTTTTGTTCCCTCCTTTCCGCTGTCTGTTAAAGCTTAAAGATTTGATAGTAGCCTACAATTTATAGGTCATTAATTTGATTAAGTTTTCTACGTAATTAGAACTAATCTAATCCATTTCATTTGTTCAGAAAACTATATATAATAGAGAACAAATTAATGCCTCAAAGTTAGGGGAAATTTGGAGGAAAGATATTAAATTAGCGCCAATTATTTATTTATTGTAATAAGATTCAAACCTTAATCATTTAAGAAGAAATATTCAATACTCAATTATTAGGGGTATCTTTGAAAGATAAATTACTTGTTACTAATTGTGATTTCAACAAAAGCAACAGAAGAAAAAAGTAGAGCGATGAAACCTTGAGTGGGTTGGACTCTTGGTCGTAAAGCATAGTTTGAAATTGGTTTGATGGGCACCGACAATGATTAAGAATTCACTTTTGAGGCTATATGATCAATGCTTGAAGCAAGAACTAGGAAGAACCAAATTGATGGCAAGTTAGAAAGGAGGAAAACAGATCCAGAAAGAAAAAGAAAAGAAAGAATTTAAGAAGGGAAAAAAAAAAGATGTAGATAGAAGACGTAGATGGTAGCAAGGAGGGTGGGCCTTTGATGACCCAAGCCCACTAGTAATATTTTTCACAATCGCCAACTCTCCGTTTCGGGAGCACCTACAAGGTGCAGGCACGTACAGCACGCCTCCTGATAAAAAAATCCAATCATGGCCCAAAATGGTAAAGTATGGTTACTCAACGGGCTTAAGCTTTGGGGTGGGGGTTTGAAAAGAGGATGGTCTTGATATATACACCTTTTTATTTTATTTTTTTTTATTTTTATTTTTTATAAGTATACTTTTTTTAAATTATTATTATTATTTTAATAAAAAAAATTACATTTTTAACTTCTTTTTTTTTTTTTGTACACCTCCTTACTTCTCTTTTTCAGTTTTACATACATTCTCTTGTCTCTTCCAATTTTACACTTATTTCATTAGGTAGTTTTAATTTTTTCTGTTTTTATATTACTCTTTTCTCCTCTCATCTCTTTCACTTTCTCATATACACCCAGATCGTAAAACTAGCATTTTTTTACGTTGGAAGCACCTCAAAGGGTGGGATAGCTGATTCGAACCGCTGACCTTGTTTAAGCGTGGATCAACCCCTACCGCTGAACCACACGCTTGGAGTTATCGTAAAACTAGTATGCGACAACATTATAGGTACGTGTGACTTTCTCGACAATTTCTGTCAAACTAGACCTACATTTTTTTCCCAACATTTTCTCTTTATTCACACCTCAAAAAACCTTAGTATTAAATTTAATGTTATGAAAATGACATTTCAGAAGACTAATCTCACTATTCTGAAGTATTTTCCGAGATAGTGAAATTAGTATTTCAAAAAAAATTTCAAAAGTGTATTATTTTACATACTTTCAAAAAGGACTTTTTGAAACACTTACATACTTTTGAAAAATACTTTTTGGGACGTAAAATTTATTGTCCCGAAAAGAACTTTACAAAATTATGTAAAATAGTATACTTCCGAAAAAGTACATTCAGAATAGTAAAATTAATGTTTCAGAAAGTAATTTTTGAAAGTATGTTAAAAACCAAATACTTTCAACAACACTAATTTTACTATTCTAAAAAGAATTTTTTTGAACACTAAAATTATTTGATATTGTGTTTTCTATATATATAAATAAGGGAAGTACTCGAAAAAAAATGAACATTTGACTTGGTACTTTTGACACGGTTAAGAAATCACACATGTCTATAATGTTATCAAAAACTAATTTTACGTTTTAGATGTATGTGAAAACTAAAAGAGGAGAGAGAGAAGATATTAATGAGAAAACTAAAAGAAGAAGAGGTAATAAAGTAATGTGAAACTGAAAGAATTAAAATTCTCTATTGAAATGAGCTAAACTAGATGGATGTGAAAAAAAGTAAAGGAGTGCATGTGAAAACCAAAATGAGAAGGGAAGGAGGTGTGTGAAAGAAAAAAAAAAGTGTTAAATTAAATGTTGGGGTGTAAGATAAAAAAATTAAAGAATTTTTTCTTAAAAAAAATAGGTGTATTTATTAAAAAAAATTTATATATATGAACCAAAAACCATTTGGTATGCAAAAATGGGTTGGGGGTATGCTGGCCCATTTTTGGGTGTGCAGTTTCCAAATTTTTAACATTAGTTTTTTTTTTTTTTTTAATTACATGTAATCAATTGTTTGAATTGAGTAACATTAATATATGAAAAAATATGAACTTGAAATTATTAGTTAAATTAGAATAATATTGATCTACTTGTTTAATGGTCAATCTGGGTCAATTTTTTTTTTTTTGGTACAGTAGAAAACTAAAAATAAAAAAAAGGAAACTAAACTACGTACAGAAAATCAAGTCCCAAAGCTTTCAAAGCAAACTCAGAAGGTCCGTCTCATGTAATGAATGTTAGAAAATCATTAAAAAAAAAAAAAAACATCATGGTTGAAATTATAAAATTATTGTAACTAATATTTGTTTTGTATGGCCACCTAATAATTTACAAGGTAAAAATATGTTTTTAGTACTAAATACATTAAAAAATAGTTATAGCTTTTGTTAAAATTTAATATGTTTTAACTTATACATTTTAATATAAATAAGTTTTTCTACACACACACCCCTAATAATTTACAAGGTAAAAATGTGTTTTTAGTACTAAATACATTAAAAAATAGTTATAGCTTTTGTTAAAAACACACACACCGCTAAAGCAATTAAATAGGTTAAGTATATATGAGAACATATGAAATATTGAAGAAAAAAATACTTGTGATTGCTTAAAATAAAAATAACATAAATAAATCTACTTAATAAAACAATATTACAATTCAATTATCATTTTTTTGAAAACAAAAGTTGCTATTTATTTTTATTCAACGATATTTCATAAAAAAAAAATATGATCTAGATATAATTTGGTTCAATTTCAATTTTGATTCTTGTTACGAATGTAACGAAACATTGCACATTAATTTCCTGTAATATCAGTATGTATTTATACGAATAGCAAATATTCATAAATATCTAAAACTATTGATGAATTTAAAAATTATAAAATATTAAGAAATAGTAAAAGATAAATTAGATCAAATATCGAAATGATAGGAAAATCACAATTTTTAATATTTAATAAATAAAAGTTTTATAAGTAAACAGGTTTTGTGCAACAGTATTAAAACACACATAGCCACTATCAAGTATCCATATCTCACCATGTCCATGTTGTAGGTCATTCATACAAGTGTATTAGAAAGTGGTCGCTATTATTCTATAATTTTGTTCAATCCAAAGGTTTAAGTTTGACCGATGCAATTTTTGGGTATGATCTCTAAAACACTCCTAGCTATTTAGATGAAATTTGATAGAATTTAATTCTAGTGCCTTTTTCATTTGAATCAAATTAATTTTCTTTTTTCTTTTTTAGTTATAAATGAAAATATCAACTTGTTTTTTTAATATAATTTTAATTACTATTTTTATCAATTCATTTTCTATTGAAATTATTTTTATAAATTGAGTCACTATTAGTTATTATTAATTTTTTTAATTCAAAGTCACCGTTAGATGGTTGAGAATAATACTTAGAATTAAAAATGTTCCATGCAATGATGTATCAAGGTCATATAAGTCATGACCATCATCCAAACATATATGAATAATATTTTGTTTGGACAAAGGTATAATGTATTGTGTTAGGTTTGGAGGATTGGTGCAGGACTCAAATGATCAGTTTTTATTTGGACTCTTTAGAAGTCTTAGCATTTCGAACAACCTTCATGCAGAGATTATAGAGCTTGTTAATGGGTTATAGTTGTGTTGAAATAGGTGTTTCTCTTTGTCAAGTGTCGGTCAGATTTACTTTATCTGGTCTAACTTGTTTAGAAGAAAACTAATCCTTAACATAGTTATGCAAATGAGATTACACTTATTCGAGAGATGTTGGGCATATCATGGAGGTGTTCCCTTGCTCACCTGCTTTGGAAGGAAATTCTTAAGTAGATTAGTTGGTAAAGAGGGACTCAACATCAGACACTCTCCTTTAGTGATCCTTAAAGAACCAGAGGTTGTTCTTTAGTTGTTACTTGCAGATGCGTTGAAAACTCCCTATTCCCGCTTGTAGGGATTGGGGTGTGTTGTTTAAGGTTCTTTTAGTTTTATCTTTCTTGATTTGTCTTTTCTTAATGTTTATCACAAAAAAAAATACTCGCTTAAAAGTTATATAAATTACATAAGTTATATTTTAAATTTTAATAATTCATGATAAGATCTAACGGTTAATATTTATTTTCTTAATCTTACAATATGATAAAATATAGAGTTTAATAGGTCATACAATGTGAATATAAAACTATATATTATCAATAAATTTAAAATTTTTTATATATGGACTTTAAATTAATTATTATAAAATTAAAAAATTTATTGTTTCATACCACAATCTAAATCTTAAATGATTATTAGGCTATCAATTTGGGTTGACGAAGCTGACAAAAGACTCATGTCGTTTAATTAAGTGATCATGAATGAATCTTGACTTTTACAAATATAGAAAATTCAAACTAGAAAAAAATATTCATCTATTTAATACATGTTAAACTCTCGAGAAATTATCCCATACTTGATGAGAAATATTCTTTAATAATAAAAAATGACCATTAAATTAGCTTATCCCAAATTAAGCCTCACATGAATAAGTACATTTGGCATGGTTTCAGGTTCTAATTTCGACGTGGGAATGCATGGTTGGAATTAGTTTACAACGAATTCTGAAGTTAGAGACAATCGCATGTTGATGTGGGTGGTGTAGCGGATATTACAAGCGTGGCATATCGTGCGATGTACAGTTCATATATATGAACAATATTCTTTAGTTTCCTACCCTTGGGTTTGATTTTTTATTATCCATTTTTTTTAAATATTGATATATGATAACCTCTTAGGTAGAAGTCTTGAAAGAAGAATTATAGAGTTTCAAAGTTCGGATGATAGCTATATACACATTTGGACTTAAAGTGGTGACACCAGGTAAATCCAAGGGGAGAAGTTATAGTTCAAGACTTGAAACTAAAATAAAATATAAAATATATATATATATATATATGAAGAAAGACAAAAAGAGGAAATAAAGAAATAAAACATATTTGAACCTTTGATTTGAAAATTATTTCATCCAAACAGTCACAACTGTGAGAAATATGGCAAGCTTTCTCACCTTAGACCTCGTCACTAACAAAAGCTACTAACTTGAGGGAAAATTGTTTTGGATCTGGATCCAAGTGTTAAAAGGCCCATTAGGCCAGCCCAAATACCATAGAGTTATATTTCTAACCCTAGGCACCTCTAAATTTTGCTTCTATTAACTTAAGAGTTGGAATACTTGTTTCTGACTCCAAGAACGTTTAAGGGATATCGACTCTCAACTTCCTACTTGAAGACTTGTTATTGCCCATCGAAGGACCACACATCCAGAAACACCTCAAGGTACACGACAACTACCCTTAACTAGTATAAATAAATCAGAATCATGGTTTTAAATTGCGGTTGCGGTCGCGGTTACTGCGATTGCGGGTATTGCGATGCGGATTGCGGTTGTTGCGGTGTGAAATTATTAATTATTTTCACTAAATATAAAAAATTTATAATTATCAATATATATTTTATTTTTAAGGATTTATACATTTTAATTCCTTTTTTTTTAAATATCTTATTATTTTAATGAATAATTTAATTTATTTTAAAATTATAGTATCAATTTATCGCATTACAAATGTATTGCGGTACATTGCAGATGTGTTGCGGACGCAACACCATTACGTTGCGAAAAAATGTGTGATTTCGAGTATCATCGCAATTGCGGTCCGATGCCGTTGCGGACAAGGTAGCAACAGCAATATTACGGCCGCAACACGTGTTGCGGTCCGCAATTTAAAACCATGATCAGAATACAACCACACACAAAGGAATAAAGAGAGGTTAAAGTATAAATCATAATAAGATTCAAAAAGAAAAACAAGGTGGAAATGAGACAAAACATAAACCAGTGAATTAAGTTAAGTTAAATCATAATAAGCATTGAAATTAACATATATAGTAGAGGCTGACATAGAAACAAGAGTCAATTCCCGAACCACAGCACTCTCGCTAATAAGGCCATCACAAAAAATGACCTTAGAAAGTCGAGGGTACTATTTGGTGCGCTCTTGACTCCCTCAGTCCCTCTACTCCTCTCACACATAAACTAATGTCATTCCACATTGTTTCTAAATTCTTACCACACATATCTTAATTTTCTAACACACTTCCCTACCTAATAATTTTTACTCAAATCCATCTTAATTTATTCTAAACATTCTTACCCTCATTGCTTCCCCCATCTTGTCTACTACCCCATTCTTCTCTTCTCATATAAGTCTCATTTGGATAAATTTTCCCATAAACAAAAGAAAAAGAAAATAAAATAAACTTCTCCCAGCTAATTTTAACTTTAGCTACTCAGAGAAATTCATTTCATTTTTTCTTCTTAATTACTTTTTTTTTTCTGTAAGTGTTTACGAAAAAAAAAACTTATCCAAATAAGACCTGATCATAGTTCTTATTGCTACTCTTCAATAGATCCAAACTAAAACTACAACTACAAACCCATAAATCCAAAAGGGTACACAAAAGGATTCATCTGAGTGACTTATCACTGTTTGAGAGGTGCACCAGTGGCGGGTTCATTGCAAAGGAAAGTGCTATTCTCATGGGAGCTAGAAAGAGCAGCTTCAATCTGGTGCAAGGTGTTGCAGAGGTGGTTGTTGATGGCTGTCACACTTGAGAGGTTGAGCTTGGCTGAAGGAATTGTGCTGGCGAGAACTTGCAGCCCCATGGTGAGGAGGCAACCTGAATTGACAGATGGAGGAGCCTCAGATGAATTGGCATCAGTGGATGTGTCAACGTTGGGTGATGATATCATTGGCACTATCATGAAGCCTTGGGGAAGAAGGGCAATGCAAGAGGGGTCCTCGCCACTCATGGCTAGCTGGATGGAATCCACATCAATGGTGGTGTACACTACTAAGCTTCCAGATTGATCGGTGCAACTCTCTTGCAGCATTAGCTCCACGTTCTGGGATGAGTTGCTTGCTACCTGAACATGTAACAATAACCTAATAAGTCACTTTTTTTAACCAAAAATATCTCTAAACCAATATAGTGAGAAACTAATTTCTTTAGATTACTGAAGTGGATTTTTGCTTCTATTAACATGCTTAAAAATCCAACTATCTTACCAACTGTACTAATGGAATTGTTTGTCACTCTTTAAAATTAAAGTTGTAACTCTAAATATATTATCAAGGTTTACATTATCGAAGTCAAATTCTAACTTTGGAAATAATACCCGGAAACAATACCTAAAAAGCATATACCACTGCATGTAATTTTTCCTAATGTTGTTCATTGGAGTAACAAGAAATAGAAACCAATGATTTGATCTATCAAGGTGATACTGAAGGTAAAAAGAAATAAAAATAAAAAAAACTAACAAAAAGAGTAAGTGTTACATTTTAACTAGTGTCACATTTTAATTAAGGGTCAAGACACAACAATTTTCAATTCCAATTTGATGAGGGTGCAATGGATCCAAATAACTTATTTTTGGAGACAATAAGGGTACAGGAAATTAACAGGTGATTTCTATCATAAAACAATACTTCATTTGGCAAAAATGATCTTACATTTATGCGAAGAAGGGAAATGCAGTTTCCTGGATGTGAGCCATTTGCAATATGAGCCACTTCATTCAACGAGTTCCCGTTGGAAAGAGCATCCATCTGCAAAAAAGAAAGGGGGTATTAATTCTTTAGTAAACCGTTAAAAGTTTTAAAGGATTAAGAGTTGAATTGTTAACTGCAGTACCTGAGATCTGTGACGTTCGTCCCTAAGGAGATCAAAGACCCTGGTGTGAGAATACGGCAACCAAGTGGTTGAAACGGCACTTAGAATCACGCCATTAGGTTGGCCAGGCTCTGTGACTTTCCTAGTTGTGATTCTAACAGTGTCTTCAGGAGAATCTGATATGGCCGTCCATGATTGACCACCAGAGGTGCTCATGTTAAGGCCAAATGTTTTTATCATTCTTTGGGCCAGTTTCATCATGTTCTTTCGCGCTTCTGGTGAAGGTATCACTGCAATTATAATACAAAAAATATATGTCACATGTTAATGTAGCATTTTTTCATCCACAGATCCCTTGTTAATTCTCAAGTTAACATAAAGATAAAACTCAGATAAAATATTAAGTACTGCTAATATTGTTTATTAATCAGAATTAAAGTTATATCTTAATAATTAATACATGTACATATTTAATAGAATTCTTTATTACACATAATACGAAAATGTGAAACTAATTCTGATTAGTGAATAACGTTTTGTGTTAATATAACTTGATTGATGTTAATCAAGATTTTATGAACCTCCAAGATCTGATATGTTTCTGGCCATGAGGCTAGCGACCCTCTCGCATTGTCTTTGCAAAACACCTAACCAACGTTGTGCTCCGAATGCCATTCCAGTGTACACATAGTTGCAAAATATCTGATGCACAGGTTTTTCTTCTACTTTTGCATGCTCGACCCATGTTACCTAACACAGTCCAAACAAAACGATTAACTAAGACACGTATACAAGAAAATGGTCAAAATGAAATATTTAGAAGCTTTGTAAAAATTGGATCACATAATAATACTTTGGGAATAGGACTTACCCTTGAATACCCATTTGGCATATCTTGAATCACACAGCCAGAGGACCTGATGCAGTATCTGGGGTAAGAAGGGTGGAAATTTTGTTGAAAGCTATCAACAGGAAAATCAACAATGGCCCAGGTTCCCTCCTCAGCATTTTGTTGACAATACCGAAGAAAATGAGTCTCACGAGTGGACACCAAAGGAGAAAGAACTTGGAATTCTGCGTACATCTGTAAAATACAACCAATATATCAGTAATCTAGCTAAATATTATATGATATATAATAGCAATTAAACATTTACACAGCTATGTTACACCTACCAGCTGAAGAGTCCCGCTTGCATGACCAGAAGCACCAGAAGATATGATTTGGACAGTTTTTGCTCTGGAAACGATTGTAGGAAACAATTCCATCCATTTTTGCTAAAATTTAAAATGTTAAAGGACACAAGTCATGAGAAAACAGATGCAAATAGAAGGGAAAAAAGAAAAAGCCTCCATTATATATAAATCCCGGAGATTATAATTTTAACTTTATAGAACTTTTATTTTAGACTATGTATAAAATGTTACAAAATGTCATTTTACTTTAATTTTAATTATTACTATAAAAATATATAGTAGAAAGACATTAAAGTAAATGATATTTTACTAAAGAGAAATTTTATTTATATAATTGTACAATGAAGAAAGAAATAGAAACAGAAGGTAAAATAATTGAGCGATAGACAGATGTACCAAAAAAAAATGTACAAAGTTTTACAAAAAGGGAAAGTTTTGAAAAATGAAAAAGAACAAAGGGAAAGACACTTCCATTTTTCAGATGAAAGTAAAGAGCTACTCAGAAGAAGGATAAAGGGTGTTAAAGAATTCAACAATCACTTACAGCATCAAGGAAAGCATCAACAAGAGTGACACTATTCATTATAACCACAGCAGAATCACGGGTAGCTTCTGTCCTCAGTTCACTTCGGTGCTTAAGATTCTGAGGCCAAGTAAACATCCTCGCGTGCTCTTCAAAATTGAGCACTTCCCTTTCACTCTCACTGCTTCGGATCCAAAGTGGCTCGTTTGTTTGACACATCTTGACAAGTTCAGCCATGGAAGAAGCGGCAAGGTCCAATGCCAAAGACTTCTCTTCTTCCATTAGTACACCACTCTCAGCAAATGGCGAAGCTTCGGGTGGCAACATCGGCACAGGAATCATTTCTGTGGATGGAGCAATAGAATCCGCAAAATGCCTTGGGTATATGTTCATGTCCAAATCCAGTGATGGAGCCATAAGAGTAGGGCCTGCTCCCATTGTTTGGATTGAACGCCCACTGTATCTTGAAGTGAGACAACACATGCGTTCTAGCTGTAACATTAAAATTCTCATTTAATCATCCTCTTTCGTCAATAGTAGTAGATTTATTCAAATTCATAAATTTCAATAAATTTTAAACAATAGTAAAAAAAGTCTCAAAAGAATGTACAGACACTATTCTAACATTCTTCTTATAATTGGAGGAATATTTTAACACATTATAAGCTTTTTGATTTGATTAGCTGTACTTATTACATACTGTACTTATGAAATAATTAGTCAGCTTATTCATATTGGAAAACCTTCTTAACAAGGTCTCAAAACATCTAGCACATTAATTCGTTTAAGAATGATTTCTGATTTTTTTTTATTTGTGTTAACAAATTTTCGCACACGACATAAATTGAATATGGATTTTTTTTGTTAAATAAATATTAATGTGTAAGTATAGATGTGTAACTACCACGATTGATATTGTAAAAAGAATTTATACATTAAACTGATTTACAAAATCTAAAGAGGTTACGTATCAAAAGGAAATATTGTGAAGGCATGATTCTCAATGAGTGGTGATTGAATTGAAATTATGGAAATTAATAAACTATACCTCTTCTCTTAACCGAGCATTTTCAATGCGAAGTTGGTGTTCATCCAAGCCCAGATCAGCTCCCATTATGCATGGTCCACCACAATTGGGACACATAACATTACGCAGTGCTGCTTGTAACCGATAGTTCTCACTCTTTAGAGTCTCATTTTCGGCTCTAAGTATCACATTATCTGCCCGGTCTTGTTGCGCCTATGTTCAGAAACAAATAGTTAATGAATAAAACAACCAAATTAAAGATTCTTCCGTATGTTTCATAATGATGATAAATATCTTCATGCAGTATACAATATACTAATATAATAATTCGTGAAATCCTAAAACATAAATAAATGCTTTTAAAATTTATGAAGAAGGAAGAGAAGAGTGAAGAGCCTTGCATTGTTCCAACCCTAAAACCGTAATGATAATAGCAATAAATATGAGTACCGTTTGAGACCACATGTGACAGGTAGGGTTTAATGCGTACATTAATGGAATACAGACTGTATGATGGACATACCAAGAACCACTAGTAAATGAGAGTCTTCCTCTCCTCTCCTCTTTTCTTTTATAAATATAAATATATATATTATTATGATTATTTTTAATCTACTACTCCATATCTTCACCAGTGAGTGCCTCCTTAGGTAGGTGAATTATTAGGGCATAGGGTAGTTTTAATGCAAGCGAAAGGAAACGCGGTTTCATTGGGAAACGTGCTAGTATGTAATAGTGTTAGTAGTAGTGAGAGACGTTGAATTTAATGGGTGGAATTAAGAGATGTTCAGTTTAGGGTTTGATTTTAATATTATTTGTGAAAAGTGAAGGTTTTAATGGAAGCATGGTAGTAGTACCTTCATCTGGGTTCGACGGTTCTGGAACCAGAACTTGACCTGGCGCGGTTTAAGCCCCAAATCATGGCTCAGTTTCAGCCTCTGCTTATCATCTGGGTGCGGGCATTCCTTGAACAACCTGCCAAAGTTTTCATTTCACATGATTTCATCACTTTCGGTTTCACTTTCATCGCAAGAAAACAAAAAGAGAAAGAGAAAGAGAGATCTAGGAACATGTAATCGATTCTCACGCTTCCATTTCTTGGATCTGGCGAGCGGTGTGCCTGTGATAACGTTTCTTCTTCGATGGCTGTTCACTCTCTTGCTCGTTCCCCGACTTGTCTTCAACTTGCTCACTTCCTGAACCACTCTCCATCTCTTCCTTCCCTCGCAGTAACACGTCCTCTTCCTTCTGTTTTTTCAAATGAACAAAAATCATGCAAATGATGAAAAGAAAAAGAGAGAAAAACAATGATCCATTAACTGTAATATTTACTTACCAAAGAAGGAAAAGGTTGAAAAGGCATGGTGGGGATGAAGTTGAAGTTGGAGTTCTGGATCGAGGAGGAGAAGAGGTTATCTGTGTTCCCTCCCATACTTGACATAACTTGGCAATCCCCATACATTCTTCCAAATCCACACTTCACTTGTGTTTTGTTTCTTTGTGTGATGTGATGAGAGATGTAACTCAGAAAACTAAAGCTTACTTCAGTTGAGCCAAACCTGTGTCTAACATGCCACAACAAATATTTCCCATATCAGAATCCAAACAATAAAAAAGCTTAAACTATCAAAACATTCTCATTAAACCCTGAAAAAACAATAGTATATAAAAAGACTCCCTGGACTAGACAACCAACTAACCCCCCAAAATCTTTCAAAGATTTTTTAGTATGTTCCATGATGAATAATATTAAAAGAAAAAAAAGAAAAAAAAGAGTGAAATGAGGGAATAGCATTACCAGAGGAGAAATATGAGGAGGGTGTGAGAGTATAGTTTTGAAGATGTTAATTAGTTGAGTTGAGAGTTCAGTTGACACAACACACGCACACAAAAGGGGACAGGGTCCCTCTCTCTCTCTCTCTCTTTACCTTCTTAGTCCTTTACCTTATCCCAGTTTGTGTGTTACACTCTCATATAATGGATATGTTCACACTTCAGAGTGTGTTGTAATAAATGGGTTAATTTAATAAATTACTACTGTGAATGGTAAATGCAGGTAAAGAAACCGATCAGCGCCACTTACTACGTCGGCTGTTACGTTACACGTGGTGTTATCTTAATGGTTATTCCAAACGTTTCCCACACCCTTCATCAAAGTCAAACCTTTTTTCTTTCAACCCTTCTCCACGCGCTTCTGTCTCCGAGACCGAGAGTATACCACACGCCAGAATTGATTGTCTTAAAATATGAAAAGGTAAAATATTAAATAAAAATAATATATAATTTTATAAAAAAATAAAATAAAATATTATTTATAAATTCTTAATATTTAATATATATGTCAAAGTCTAAATTAAATATAATATAATATTTAAGTTCAAATTTTAATAAAATATAATAATTTCATTAATAATAATAATGTTATATCTAAAATAAAAAATGGCAAATTAAATTAATATAATATAAAGTATATAAAATTGTAAATTAATATAAACAATTAAATCATACTTTTTGAGAAAAGTATTAAAAATTATTTATTTTAAATTATAATTTTTTTTATTAAATATGTATTATTATTATTATTTTAAAATAAAGAGGGCTAGTTTGAACTGACGTTCTACATTGGTTCATGATCGATTTAATCTGATTCTTATGCAATTCAGTTTACGTTAGTAATTGAATTGAATACTGATTTGGCTCTCGATTCTACTAGTTTAGTCCAATTGTCAAAACAATGAAAAATGTCCATATGATCAAACAAAAAAAACATGAAAAATTTGTGTGTAAATTGTGAGATCTTAATAGGTGTGGATATAAATTGGATTAGATTGGACTTTAAGTATATTTAAATTCAATCATATAAATTTTAATTAATTTGAATTGGTTTGTCTTTTCATTTTTCATTGAATTTATTTTTGAAAAATACATTAGACAAACTTGTAAGGTATATTAAAAATTACCAAGCAAAAAATTATTCAAAATTAAAATAAAAATTTAAGAAAAAAGTTCATATAAATAAGGAAATAAATAAGGAAATAAAACAAGTTGTTGAAAAATAAAGAAATAAAATAAGCTTACTATTATCAAAAAGTCAACAACAAATTGAAGGAGGAAGGTCGTCGAAATAAAGAAGGACAAAAGAAACACACTACCACAATGATAGAAGAAGGAAGAAGGTTGAGCGGAGATGTTGTCAATGAAGGATGGAGGTTAAGTGGCGCACTCTTGCGGCGCACCTTTTGTAGTGCTCCCCAAAACCTTAATCACTTAATATTTTCATTTTTCTTGAATAATAGACAATGAAACAAAAAAAAAAGGTTTCATTTGTAATATAGGTCAATTTAATGAAAGTATTTTTAGACACACCATTGAGGTTGAGAGATGGGCTGATTTCTCTCTAGCCCAAATTTGATATTTAAAAAATAAAAAATAAATAAATAATGTAGGTATTGAAAAAAAATTACAATGTTATATAGTTATAAAATATTATATAAGATAAATTTATTATAATAATTATTTTGAAAATTATGCTATCAATGATATAGGATTACTTAATACATATAATTTTGCATTGATAATACATAATAATTAAACTCAAAGTAAATATAAATGTCATGAAAAATATTTTTTTTTGGTGTGTTTTATTTTTTTATTTAATTAAATTTGGTGACAATTTCTATAATAATTTTTTTTATTATGTATGAAATTCTAAATTTTAACCTTATTATTACCATAATATTAAAAAAATGTTTGTAGTAAAAACTAATCCAGATTATCAAAACCAAACTTTAATTTTAATCAATGGGAAGAAAAACTAAGAAATTATATTTAACTTTTGTAATAAAAATGTTATAAGATAATATTATTGTATAAAAAATAATTTTTTGAAAAACATAATTTATTCTTTATTTCAATTCACTAAATTACATGATCATTTAATACTCCTTTCTTTTGATCCTTATTATAAAACATTTATAATATAATTATACAAACCAATATAAGTAAATATTTTAGTTAATTTTATTGATTTTATAAAATAAAATCATGGCATCAATTGTACCCTTCTTATGTGTTTAAATTGTCATGAAAAATGTGACGATATTAGACCATATTAAAGTTTAGATGACACCAACATCAATGGTTTTAAGAGATGCGAGAGAACATTTATTATTCAAAATTTATTCTCATTATTTAACAAGAAATATATATACTCATAATCTTTAATAAAAAAAAGTGAAAAATAAAATTATTTTATAAATTTTGTAAAATACTTCATAAAAAATCATTTCTTTCTAATTTGTATCTTAAAATAAAGATCTAAATGATAATTTAATTTAATTAATAATAAATTGTACTCCTACTAAAAAGAGTAATATTAAATGTTTGTGATTTATTTATAAAATATTTATTAGCCTCTTCAATGACTACATTATATATTACTTATCAAAATCTTTATTAGTCTTATCAACATCTTTACAAAGCTGCTAAAAAAAACCTATATATTAATTACTTTCTCCATTTAATAATAAATGTTGTCTCATATTTTATATTGATTAAGAAAAATTAAAAAATAAATGAAAGAGAATAATAATTTTACAAAAATAATCTTGTGTTAGCTATAAATTACCATATACAACACAATAACTATTTAAAAAAAAATATTATTAAGGGTATAAATGAAAAAAATATCAATACTACATTAAAAAAACTAATATGAAATTTTTTTAATTATGGGATGGAGAAAGTAAATTTCTATACTCTTAATTACTATATATGTAGTAAAAAAAATCACAGCACCCAAATAGAGTTTTTATTTTTTATCTTTTAGGGAATTGTGTTATATATGAAATGGAAAGTTGGGAATTTGAGAAAGTTTTAACTCTGGCCAAAGAGTGAGATAATAATATACTTTGAGTTGTAGGAGGAAAAAAAGAATGGAGAGTGATGAGAATAAAGTAGTAGGGTGAAATGTTAAGTTATGGTGATGGGATGAAGGAGAGTGCATGGTGAATGGTGATGGGGTCGTGGGGGATAGGGTGACTTATTTAATGAGGTTTGACACTGAAACCAGTGAGATGGAAGGGTGTCCCTTTCAACTGGGGACCACCCCATCGTTCTAGACAGTGATTTTATTGCAAAATTTAATTATGATCATTCTGCAACCCTTTTAAATTTTGCATCATGAGGGGGAGCCCAACTTTGGGCTTTATGGTTGGCTCATTTTTGTCAACTTATGTTGCTTTCAAACCATTTCTTAGTTCTCGTCAAAATGCCACTTCACACTCCCTGCATCAACTTGTGTGTGTGTGTGTTATTCTTTATGGTTTGATTTGTGGTAATGTTTCTTCATTTGGAATAATAATGCTCCAAAAGAAAGTCATGAGGTAGTGTCCAATTGTGTACTACATATTGGCAAGTTTTTTTAGTAGATGTGTTCGAAAAATGTGACGGAAATACACTATAGGTAGTTAGAAGGGTGTGAGAAAAAACTCATGAAACTTGTTATGAAAAATAAAACGTAGTGTAGTTGATATAAATTTAATGTATAACTTATGCAGACTGAACAAATTCTAATTCACCAACAAACGTTTCACACGGTTTTGTAAATAACTGAATTTCTTAAAGTAGAAGTTTAATTTTTATTTTGTGTATGGATTTTTTTTTTATCAGTGAATGAATTAGTGTTCAACTCTTGATATAGAGATATTTTTTTGTTTAAACAATAACTACATATTTTTTTGTCCCAAACAAAAACTAGATCCATTAAATGAATCATCATAAGCATCTAATTAACCCAACTACACGTGTAATAATGAGAAATTATAACGTTCATTTCTTTTATCTTTATTTTTGCATATACTTTTTTTTGTCAAATATAAGGAAAAATAATTAAAAAAAATGTATTAATTGTATCTGTAGATATTTAGGCTCCACGAAGGCACGAACCATGTTTTGAGGTGTCTGACTAAGTTAGAAACGGTCACTTAAAGATCGAACGTTTTCGCATTTAAAAGAAAAACGTTTCATATGAATTATTTTTTGTGATATTTGTACGAACGTTTTTAATTACAGTTTCTGCATTTCGTGGACATTGTTTTAGTATGAACAACAACGTTGAGTTTAAAATTTAAAATTAAAGTTTGAAACTAAATCATTAAAATGTAAAACAAATGAAAATTACGAAACCACTCACTGCATCAGTGCTCACGTGGCCCAATTGCATACAAGCCCGTTTACATTATTTTCTTGTTTGAAAACTCATAACACATATCGATATATGAACATTAAATACAAGTTAATTCAACACGGACCAATGTTAAAAATGTAATAATCAAAAGTATAATTTAACCAGAATTGAAATATTAAATTCATCTATTAATTATTCTATCTGGAACGTATCGGATCAGCTTTATTTATCCTTTCAAAGTGGGGATGAGAAATTAAAGAAAGAAAGAGGGTCTAGAATTAAATATAGTGTCTTATGAGGAATGCCAAATTTAATTGAATATTTTGGTCCCATTTATTAGCATATGTAAACATGTGCAGTTTGTACTTCTCCCCTTCCCTTCGTTATTCTTCATCTTTTACCAAGTTGGAAATTACAAAGAAAGTACGAGGCATTCTTTACTTTGGATATATTTCATGTGCCTTGACATAAATCTTGTTACTGTCGACTTGACTATGGTAGGTTTTGTTTTTTTTTAGTTGGTGAGTTAAAATTGTACTCACAAGTTATTGAAAATAATTTTCCAACTCACTGTGTCCTGTCATTATTTAAATTTATTGAATTTTTTGGATAAAGTTGAAGAAAATATAGTCGACGTGAATGTTACTATTACTACATTAGTAAACCCTCAAATTTCAATAACTTAAATCTCTTAGAAGCATTATTATGGACTTATATTGAGTCATAATTTGTAATTAGATTTTACTTCTGCTTGGATTAATAATA